GGGGGGGGGGGGGGGATAATTGAAATGCAGAGCACACTAAAATTTCTTATCCCCCCCCCCCTCCCCCTGTACAATTTTTAAAGGTATTTTGTAAATTTTTATGTCAAAACCCTGGGATGGTGAAATGTTCGACACATTTTCATATTTTTCTTGAAAAAAATTTAGATTCAAGCTGCACACAGGCAATTTTTATTATTATTATTTTTGTGAGTAAAAAATATGGACTTGAAGTTGCCCCTTATTTCTGGTTGTGCCCCAAAATCTTCCAGGGGGGATGCCCCACTCCCAATTTTCGGACGTAGCCTCGGACTGGATAGACGTTTGTTTTATGTAAAGATGGATCAGCATAAACATGTTTTAATTAAAACAAATAAAATTAAAAATATTTTTTCCAAAATTATAGTTTTATAAATACTTAATAGTTTTGTTTTCAGTCTCAATCTTGGGTCGTCGTCTGGTGACGATGAGAAGTGGGGAGGACCAAGGATCTTTGGCGGGCAATAAATTCAAATATAATTCAGTTGCAGTTTATCCTTCTTCACCAGGTATATAATATTCCTCAGGTATATAATATTCTTCAGGTTTATAATATTCTCCCCGGGAATATAATATTATAATTTTTGCCAGGTATATAATATTACCCAGGTATATAATATTCCACAAGAAAAATTTTTAAATTTATTTTTGGTAAATGCAATGAGTAAAAGTTAAAGAAATTTTTATGGATTAGAATCAAATGGATTCAAAGTAATTATTTAATGCTTGTTAATATTAATTCCGTTCTATCAGGATCTAACTGAAACATTTTTACATTAACTAATTAAATACAGTGATTCGGATCCATTTAATTTTCCATTCCATTTCTGGATCCTGGATCCGTTCTGCAAAAAACTGGATTCGTATCCGGATTAAAAAACATTTCTTTTGCGTACTGAATTTTCAAATATTTTTTCTTCTAATTTTTGATTATATTCATGATAAAACTTGATGAATCATTCAGAGAAAAGAATATTTTTAATATTCTCCCTTTTTTCAACAGTTGAGATTTAGGTTTTGTGAGTAAATTTTTTTTTTACATTTTTGATAGATTTTTGCCCATGCGATCCGGATCCATGGATTCTTTGATCCCCATATTTTTTTATACGTATCCGGATTCAGGAAGCCAAAATTTTGCGGATCCAACGAATCCGGATTTTTAGCACTGTTAAAATGTATATATCTTATTTTTAGATATTCCTACCTCAGCGTTCTGCTTGTTACTAGAGAAATCCTTAACTTTACTAGGTAGATACAACCTTATTATTGTGGTTAGGGTAGAAAGGGTGTTGTAAAATCTTAATAAAAACTCGCCTCAGGCCAGGGGTAATTATTTTTCAGAATTGTAAATAACATTTTGCTACCCTGTCATGAGTTAAGACCAAATTAAATATCCAGCATTCCATGACTACAAATAGATAAAATTATAGTTTTTAAAACAAAACAAAAGAATGAAATAAACATCCTGAAGTTTCAGGATCAGGATCAAACTACACTTACACGTAGGCCAGACTTCACAAACACCAGGCTACGAAAACCTCAGAAATAAGACAACGCCATTTTAAACAATCACTGGTTGTAAATTTGGACAACTATCATTTGAGCTACTGATCCTTTGAGCTATTGAATATTTGAACAAACAGGAAACTTTAAAGATCTAGGATTGATCCCCAAATTAAAAGTGCCCACACTGGATATGGATATCAAGTTCCCAGTTCAGAAGAAATATATGTTAAGGTCCGTCCACTCGGCTTTCTTCTGAGCAGATACTGCAACGGTTTGGTCCTGAAGCTTTAAAACCTAGATATGAGTACAGGCTTAACTCCTGGCTAAATCAACAAGTAAGACTGTTGTCAACTTGAAGAAAAATAAAGTGTATTGAATTCATAAGAAATTTTTGCGACATGTCGACTAAATTTTGCGACATGTCTACTAAATTTTGCGACATGTCGACTAAATTTTGCGACATGTCGACTAAATTTTGATTTTATCCAGAATATGTGAACGGAATGCCGATATCTAACTATGATTCTATTAAAGAAATGTTTCAGTCACACCGACCCAATTCTAATCCTTTCTAGGATTTGTAATGCTTATGCGCCAAACCAACCTATTTTATTTCTATTTATCTAGGAAATGTTTCCGGCACGCCAACCTTATATTTAGCTCTTTATTTAGGAAATGTATCCAGCACGCCGACCTAATTCTAATTTTATTTAGTAAATGTTTTCGACACGCCAACCAAATTCTAATTTTATTTAGGAATTGTTTCCGGCACGCCAACCTTATCTTAGATCTATTTAGGAAATGTTTCCGTCACGCCAACCTTATTTTAGTTCTATTTAGGAAATGTTTCCGGCACGCCAACCTTATCTTAGTTCTATTTAGGAAATGTTTCCGGCACGCCAACCTTATTTTAGTTCTATTTAGGAAATGTTTCCGGCACGCCGACCTAATTTTAGTTCTATTTAGGAAATGTTTCCGGCACGCCGACCTGATATTAATTCTTTCTGACGCCAACAAGTCATGGGAACCTACCCAGGCTGAAAGAGAGATTGAAGCTATTACTAAACGGATACGGTACAATGACAATTCAATACACTAATATTTAAGAAACTAAGAAAATAATTTTTACTTACATTTTTTTAACTCTCAAGTAAAATGTGCCCTACAATACTTCGCAGCGCCCGACAATTTTGATCATTCATAAACCTCCCCGGGAACGATCGTTCTTTCACGAGAATGAACGGAACGATCAAGAACGATCCCATTGTCCCGAAAAAAGAACAAATGCATAGAACGAGTTCTTAAAAATGATGGAACGATTTGTGAAGGAAGGGAACGGAAATTTTTGAAAGAACGTTTAAAATCAGGAACGCATTTATATTATCACTAGCCTTAGAGGGCGCTTCGCGTCCTTCTTCTAAATTAATTGTGAACATGTTCTCTTTGTGTACATCGTAAAACAAAACAAAAATAGTTTGCGGATTTTCACAAACAATTTCGTGGATTTTCAAAATTTTAAAAAATTTAATGAAGATCGAATTTTGATGGAGACAAATATTTGAAATTTTTATCATTCATAAACCTTCCCTGTGGTCGCGTGATGTGTGCATTTCTCACCTAATTTTCAATTAGGTCCTCACGCCAAATGCCGGACGCAGGCTCAGTCATCATACCCATTTCTCACGCGCTTGTTTCTGTAAATAGCCACAGTTCATTTATAGTCTAGGAATAGGGAAAGTACGTCTTGCGGTGGAAACTGAAAAAATAAATTACAATATTAATCAGTTCCATATAATATAAAAGTTTTAAAGCAATACCATCAACTAATCATTATTTTACAATCAATCAATCACACGAATATATTAAATGAGTGCTTACATTTGGTGCATCGACTGAGTGGGTGGAGCACCGTCCACGTAGGTATATTTCTTGACGAGAATGTTTATTTAACCAGATCCCCTTATCTCCGAAGGTTCACTCCTTAAATAGTTTAGGTCTGGGAAACAACGTTCTCCAGATAATTTAGGAATCCGCACAGGGCTGGGAACAACGTTCTCCAGAGAGTTAAGGAATCCGCTCAGG